AAACGTGGGTAGATCGGAGTGAGATACAGATCTATAATTGAATTTTCTCTCCATGTATAATTTTTCATAAACTCACTTGACCAGTTTAGGAGAGTCAAATCTTCTCGTAGCATATTTCTTTCCCAGTCTCTATGGAATAGTGCCTACCATGTAGGTTCACACCACATGGCCCTTGATTTACACATAGATGTACATATTCCACAATGCTGACTGCGAAAAGCGACTCAGTAGGGCATCGCTGATAGGTGGGAGTCACTGCTGGGGTATAAGCAGTGAGCACCCCACCATTTCACATCTACAAGGACATCAACACGCGGCATCCACATGTACTTCACAGGACCCAAATAAACTCTAATGAGTGTGAGAGGTTTCCTGTGTGCTTCCACACAATTTGCCTGCATCTGTTGAAGGTGGGTGGGTTTTCAAATCCTCAGGTTTGAAGTTTCTGATTATCATGAAAATAGTAAAAGAGAAACCATGCTATTTCAAAGCTTTCAACAGCTTAAAATAAATCCTAAACATCCTCAAGAAACTCCCACTCCTAGAGAAATTATTAACTTATGAGTAATGTGAAGACAGTCTTAATTTCCAATTCTATATTCCAGTATTTCCTTTGTTTTCCTTCTAGAATGCAGCCTTCTCATATTTCTTGTGGACTCCCAAGCACACAGAATGGGTCAACAAAACACAGCTGCTCTGCCTACTCCCCTTTCTGTAATACCTGCTCATCCTCCTGGTCCCCTTTTGACGTTTTCCTGGGGGTACAATTTTCTGAGAGAACATTCCCTAGTTAATGGCAAGCGGGAGGGGAGTAATGGCTGTGAGTCTTGAAAAGTCCCTCTGAACTTCCTCCTTGTCCCCAAAATTCTAAAATGGCCTGGCTCATAACAACCTGACATTTTCTCCAAAGTGAAAGTTGGATGCAGTAGAGGCTTCTCTTTTCTGATTAGGAGAGGAATCTTAGATCCTGGCTTTCGGAGTTTGCTGAAGTTTCTTCTTGTCGGTGGTGGGCGGTAAGTCAAGATGGCTGAATTCCCAAGCTTTCTGCATATATGTGAAAGTTCTCAGCCTCTCCTCAAGCTTTTTTCTCTGCCAAGTGGTGCGATAAAACTTGTGAGAACAGGTTTTCCTTATGAGGTAACTGATGCATCCACATTCACTTCTGGCAGAAAACCAAAGTGAAAAATAATTTAAAGAAACCTTACAGAACATCTTAAGGGGCCTGACAGGAATTTGGTTTAGCAATTTAATGATTCTTCAAGGGAACATGTTTTTTGTTTGACCTTTATGCAGGAATTTCTCAAAGCACTCATACTTAATTCTACCCTAGTTTAAACAGTCAGGACTTAGGTAAGTCACTTCCATTTGGATGGATTATAAGACAGTCACCAATTCAACACAATTGACAGGTGGCCCAGGAGGTCCTTGGTAACAGTGAAGCTCCCTGATAATAAGACTTTATATTTCAAAAGTCTCTCATGTGAATTATCACTTTTAATCTTAAGAGAGAAGGGCTTCATCTGTCTCAACATATTAATGCTAATATCTCAATTAAAATAGCATTTCCTACTATCCATCCTTTCTCTTTAATAAGATAGGAAGAGGGGACAAAGCTCGCTCTTGCATTTTCCATGGGACAGAGTCTCAACTGCTCCTGATGGTAGCACCATGGTGTTTTCACATTTGCTTAGACCTCACTCTGACCAAGGGAGCAGGAATGGGGATGGGGACAGTCGCTGAGAAGCTGCGTGCCCTTATCTTCCTCTTCTCAGTTCTGCTGGGGAAAGCCCATAGAAGAACAGTTGGCCAGTATATGCCTCCAATCAACTACTTTTGCTGCTCTCAAAATCACCAGCCAGTGAATTACTTGTTCTCATTGTACTCTGAAAACAATTCTTAGAAGCAGATATGATTACTTGCTATTTTATTGATGAAAATTCAGAATTTCCAAGACATTAAGCAACTCCCACAAAGTCTAGAAGAACTTGGATTGAACCCATTGTCTACTGGCCCATTTACAATCAAGTAAATTCACCACATCCTTAGGATTCAAAGCACACATCTCAAGGAGCATTTGGACTATCTGACGTTGGTTAGAAATGCAAATGGGCACTGCTCAGAACTACAGAATCTGCATTGGAACCAGGCCTCAAGTGACTCGTGTGTACACGAAACTGTGGGAAGTACTGCTCCACAGTAGAACTATCTCTAGCCAAGGGGAAGTTCAGCTGAGGTCTTGAATGCAGTGACCTAATGAGATGGATGTGTCCCTGGTGGGAACTTCAAGGCAAGCTCACTCTAGCTTTGTACTATTCATCTTCAGTTAACCCCAAGATTTAAATTCCCCCAACTTCTCCAAGTCTAGTAAAACAAGTTCTCAGCCTCTGCCCAATGCAGATCTTTATGGACATCTATGATGAGAACAGAGTTATCTCTTCTGTTGAGGTGAGGCCTAGCTGATGTGGCTTTGGACAAAGTCCTTTGGGCTTGGCTATTATGGGAGATATTTGTAGACAAATAATATTGATTTTTGTGGAACAAAAGTTGCCTTTGATTTTTATGACGGGTGGTAGGCAGTCTTAGGGGATGAGGAAAGATAAGAGAGAAGCCTGCAAAGCCCTCCAAGGGAACAAGCATGGAAGTTGTTCCTGATTTCATTTCCTTGCCTGCTGAGCATCTCTGCTGACAAGTGCCAGGTAAACTCCAGGTCCTGTCTTGAAGATATCATCATTTAAATAAAAACATGCTTGATTCTTCTCCCCTCCCATCCATCCAAATTTCTTATAAGAGTGTTCAAGGAAGCCAAGTGACTGATTTCAGAGACTGGAAAAGTCCCTCTGTCAAATGCTCCCTCACCCCCGCATCATCCATTCTCTGATGCCATGAGTTCCAGGAACATGGTGTTCCTGCTCATGGCATGCATACTCTTTGATAGCCTGAAAACCTCCAGGCGGCTGTGCACAGAAGATGCCATTAGAAGATAGATTCCAGGCCCCAACTTTAACTTGTTTGGTTTGGTAACTGGAACTTAGAAGTCCAGACTCATCCTGACAGGATGCTTCCCGGGGAGGCTTTCTACCACACATTGTGAGTGTCCTGGATCTTAGTGCTGTGTGATCTACTTCTCAGACATGACTCTTCTCCTTTATGCAGGTTGCCATTTCTGGGGTTCACAGCCACAACTCTGGGCACTCAGCAATCTCTATTGCTAGAGGTTAAGCATGTAATAATTTTTAATGGAATCCTTCCCTGACGTACATCTTTAATCAGGTTTGTCAGTTTTACACAAGTTTGAGGTCCACCTGCCTTTCTTACCTACTCTTTTTAAACAAATATAATACTTCTAATCAAAGTCTTTTCTCTGCTCTGGTCTAACTTGGTCATTTTATCCATACTTAATACCCTGCACCTCATTTTGCTGTTCATAATTTACCTTGTCACTTGGATTTTGCATCATGAGGCTGTACGTATTCCATGAATACCTCCTGGTCCAAATCCCCTAGTTCAGTATAAAAATCATCCTCTCTAAATGCCACACTCGGTCAAGCTGGGAATCACCAAAAGCGACCTGTAATCAAAGTGAAAATATTGTGTTGGTGCTTCTAATCAAAGGACCAAATCTCCATGGCCCAAGTCTATGGAACATATAAATAAGTCTTCTCTTGGACGAATACTTAGCATAAGATAGAATACTCATCATAAGATAGATGTAAAAATGTTTAAATGAATAAAATGTATTATGAGACTAGTGCCCCCTTATCCACATTTTCACTCTCTAGACTTCATTTACCTATATGGTCAGTTGAGATTTGACAATATTAACCAGAAAAATCTCAGACAATTCATAAGTTTTAAACTATAACATGATTAAATCTTACACTGTCCTATTCTGTCTCACCTAGGACATGAATTATCCTTCTGTCCATTGTATCCCTGTTGTATACCCTACCCATCCATCAGTTACTTAGCAACCATGTCACTAATCAGATTGACTATCACAGTGGGTAGCGGCACTTAAATGCAATTAAATTTTATTTTATAAAAGTAGAAGAGCAATGGTGGTAGAACTTCAGGTATGTCAAAGGAAGCAATATTTAAGTGCTTCCCTTAAATGATAAGTGGAAGTATGTGTACATAGGGAAAAAAGTTTAAAGTTGATAGGATCTATGGTTTCAGGGGGTCACATAGGCTCTGTAGATAAGCTGGAGGGGACAGGGAGGATTACTGTATGTCAACGGAGAATTACATTATGTTTTTAACCCAATAAAATCTCTAGATCATGTTATAGAGTACTCAGTTCTTACAGAAGTTCACTGTAATAAGTGCTCTCCTTGGGTTGAATGGTCACCCTTGGTGGTCCCAACTTGTCTACCAAGCATACAGTAAGATTTTGGCAATTATTTGTTGAGTGGACGATTATGAGATTGGAAGAACCATGGTAGCCAGATAAGCTGGGGTTTCCAGGTGCCCCCACTTTGCTATCAGCTCCTACCATCCCTGCACATAATCAGTGTGTGCATTGCTTTCAAGAACCAGAGACTCCAAGCTGCTTCAGATTCTGAGGAGGCTGAGACCAAACGGTGAGTAAATATTTCCTGAATCAAAACCACACAGGCTTGGGGTGTTCAGTTCACTAGTTTAGAACAGCTGCTTTCCATGGTGAAACGCTCAGTAGTTGTAAGTAAGAAATAGGGCTTGAGTGGAAAATATTTGTAAAGGGAACAAAAGCAAATGGTGTCATGTTTGCCAATGACATCCTGGGGAACTAGTGGGTATGAAAAGAGAGAAGCAAAGGAGGCCTGATATTTTGCTTTCTTTCAAGCACACCCATACTCACCTCAAATCAGGCCAACCTCTTCGAGGAGCAGTATTGCCCTGGCAGAAATAATAACTCTATACTTATTTCTGCTGGAACTGTGGCCTGAAAGGCAAGTAGCGGTACAAGGCAGTGAGGCAGAGCTGCGGGGGAAACCAGTGGGCACTGAGGAATTTACAAAGGGCTCAGTTTGTTCCACCTGGAGAGAGGAGTATATATTTTAAAATTTCACATTTAATTAGCACTTGAAGGGAGGAATGAAATGGTTCACAATGGTAATTCCAGGCAGCTTTTGTATGAAATAGATGAAGGGGAAAAAACCTGATTAGGCACTGGCCTTAAGTACAGTTCCCTTGGATTTCCTTTTTCCTCTTCACCATATAATAGCATGGCTTAAAATCAGTCCTGACAGCTAATCAGAATGAGTGGCTCTTTCTTTGCCTGGAGTGGTTAACAAGTACGGTGCAGTGTGCCAACAGCCTGTGCTTCTGAATGGCTGCAGAAGGAAAGAATAGCTCAGTTACTTCATTACAGGCAGCTCTGTTCCTCCCTTCAGAGTTGACTCAGAGGTATGGTGTAGTCCTAGAGTCTGATGTGTCTAAGGGCAGCCTGGGAATATCACCATCCAGCTCTCCTGCTAAGGAGGCTGTGCTCTCCTTCCTGGTCCTGATGGGCTCCTCCCATCCATCTCCAATACCTCCGACTCATCCTTCTGCTTCTGGTGGCACCCTGGAAACCTGCACTGGGAAGATGGGGCGCTAAACTAAATGTAGACTGTCGAGTGATAAAGTAGGTGGTAGCTGAAGCCTGTCACGCAAGAGCAAGTGGATTCCCTCCTTAAGAGTTTGGGACCAGGGAGGCGCCTCAGAGCAGGACAAACATTTATGTGCAACAGGCAGAGGAGAAGGGGGGAGAGGCAGGTAAGTGGTGGGGTGCTCCCTCCCCAGTGAGAATCCTGTTCTTGGCTGAAGTGGGTCAGTTTCCCTTTCCAAGAGTTTTGCTGTTGTTTGTTACACAGAAGAATGAACTCCCCAAAGGGATATGACAGAGAAAAAAAAGGAAGTGAAAAGCTTCAAGATTTCCCAGATGACAGCTGTACAAAGGCCATAATGACTGCCCCGCCCCCAGCTAAAAATAATGGTAATGGCAGAAGTGACCTGAGGAGTGGAATCTGGGCAAAATTCAGTCCATAACATGCCAAAACCTAGAATTCCAAGAGCTGGTTCACATTCGAAATTGCAAGTGTCCCTGAGGCCACATTTCTCTATATACCCCCCTCTGCAGAGAAGAGCAGGAGAAAGGGTGGGTTCTGGGTTTCACAGGGACACAGGGCAAGCCCAGGCTCGAGGTGGATGCAGACGCCCCACCTGGGAGGAGCCAGGGCCAGGGCAAGGAGCTGGGAGCCTTGCGGGGCCCTGTAGGCTCTTGGCTAGGCTCCTGATGCTCCCTTTTAAGTCCTCCTTTGAGAGGAGAGCGGGCGCTCCTGTTCCCTGGGGCCACTTGTGTTCAGCTTTAGGGAGGACAGTCAGCCCCAGAACAGGGCTGAGACTCCATTAACACAAAGGTCCTGGCACTCCAGGGTTGTTTTGTTATCCATGTAAGAGGGTCAAAGAAAAAAGGAAAATGAAGCCTTCAAAATCCCTTTATGAAGTGCACAGGCTATCTTTTAGCTTGGTACATATTTGTCTTCTGTATTATGGCAAATACACATACCAGAAAGACATACTGCAGTAATATAAAATGCATGTGCCAGTGGAATTAAGTGTACCCCAACATTGGTCAACGACCACCACCACCACCACCTGGCTCCGAAATGTTTCCCTCCCCTAAAAGGAAAGCTGTACCCACTAAGAGCCATTCTCAATCCCTCCCTCCTGCCAGCCTCTGACAAACATTAATCTGATTTCTATCCCAATGTATGCAGACACCTTATCTTGTTTGCCCATTCATTTTTTTTTAATGGACACTTGGGTTGTCGCTGCCTCTTAAGAGTCTGTGAATAAAGCCACTACAAACATTTGTGTACAAGTTTTAAAAAAATGTTTTTAGCTCTTTTAGGTATATACCTAGGAGTGGAATTATTGAGTCATATGGAAATTCTATGTCAACTTATTAATAAATGACCAAACTGTTTTCCATAGAGGCTATACTATTTCACTTTTTTTCTGCAATGTATGAAAGCACCAAATTTTCCATGTATTCACCAACATTTTCTGTTTTTTGTATTATTACTATGGTCATTCTAGGCAATGGGGAGGTGTCTCATGGTGAGTCTGATTTACACTACTACTGCAAAGGAGTTATTTTTTGTTGACTATTGTGTAGGTTTTCTTTGGAGAAATCACTTTTCAAGTTCCTTGCCTATTTTGTCTTTTGCTGTTGAATTGTAAGAGATTTTGACATATGCTGCATAGAAAGCCCTTATCAGAAGATGACTTACACATATTCTTTGTGATCTAGTGAGTGGTCCGTTTATTGTCTTGATTGCCCTGTTTTCAGAGAGACAAAGCACACACATGCTATTGGAAAAGTACAATGGTAATAGTCATTAAAAAGTTTTGAATTTGATCTCCCAGCACCATATGCTGCGATGGCCTGGCCCCCGAGGTGCGTTGAGCTGGGGATGGAGTCTGGTCATGGTGGTGCATGCCTGTAATCCCAGCCGCTGGGGAGGCTGAAAATAGGAGGATCACTATGAGTCTGGACTGCACAGTGAGACCCTGTACCAATACATACATACATACATACATACACAAAAAATAAAAAGTTTTGAGCAAAGAGAAATCTCCTTGGGTCATTTTTTTCTCTTGGACTGGTAAAGGCTCTACATTCCTTTGGTGTATTTTCTCTTGTCCTAAAGCATACATACATGTTATTACTTCCATTTCACTGATGAGGAAATTGAGGTACAGGTATGTTAACGAGTGGCCCTTGTCCTCACTGCCCTCCACAGGAAGGTCTAACCTGAGAGCCAGGTCTCTTTCAGCTCTCCACAGATTTGTTCAGTATTTGCTCCGGGGATTTGGAGGACTTTCCTCACCACGGAAAGGGGAGTGTGTGGAGGATCTGGCTCTCTGCGCAAATGCACACTCCAACCCGAGAAACTTTGCTTTGATCTCATTTATAATTTGGGGCTCCAGCATTAGATTTTGTTTGGGAGGGGGTGGGTTAGAGGATCCAAGTGCCAAAAAAAAAAAAAAAAAAAAGAATAAAGCCAATTTGGTTTTGCTACACATTTTTTAACTCATGCTGCTTCCTGGAAGAAAATCCCGAAGCTCTTGTAGCCTCATGTACAATGGAACTTTCATTAAAGAGAAACCACTTGTAAACTCCTCAGGAGAAACCTGGTTTTGTGCTTGCACAAACCCCGGCCGCAGCAGCATGCACAAACACAGCCACACACTCGCACACCCACCTTGCATGCCCGGTTCCTGGACCTTTAGGCTGGAGGCAGCTGCCTCTGAACTCCCACTCACAAGAAAAAGGAAGAAAGAAAGTGGCTCTTGCCGGTGGCCACGCCCGCTCTTCCCGGCAGTCTCAGGTGTGCCCTCTGCTCACCTTTGTCCACCTTCTCAGCAGCCAGGAGACTCTCCAAAGTGCAGCCACTTTGTGGTCCCCTAGCGACACGAATTACTACCAGCTCTCGAGGGAGACCTTTGCAGTCACGGTGAGGACGTAAGAACCCCTCCGCAGCTGAGGCTGAGTCCCAAGGGAAATAGCCTGCAGGTGAGTGAGTGTCTTCCTGCCTGGCTGCCAGCTGGGAAGAAGCGTAGGCTGTGAGACAAGTCCAGGGCCCACAGGGCTTCCCAGGGACCATTGATCTCAGGACGTGTGACGTGGGCCTGGAAATCCCGTGTCCCGGAAGTCTCGCTGGGTCTCCAGCGCTCTCCATTTTCCCTGGTTGCAACGGGGCCAGCCAGGGCGACTTCCAGGCTGTGATCGCAGGAGGAGGAGAGGTTCTGAGGTAGTGCGCAGAGAGGTGCACCGCGGGTTTTCTACACATTTCCCCTGTGTGCCATAAGGCGTTGCCAGGTGCCTGCTCAAATGCGGTTCTCCTGAGAAGTCACATGAAGTCTTAATGTCATGAACAGTTTCAGTGAAAGAGGACAAATGGGTGCTGGGGAATGTCTCTCTTGGCTAGAGAACCAGGAACCCAAAACACTGCAAGGCATCTTTTGATCCCAAGGGCTTTCCTTTGTCTTGCGTATTGCCGGTTCCCTCATGCACCAACCACCTCAGATGGGGCTACACAGCTTGCTGAAGGAAACTTCATCACAGAGCTGTGGGTGGCAGCGTGATGAGTTTTCCAAGCCCTCCCGACTTGCCTGGGCATCACTTCATTAATCCTGGACTTTCAAGTGTTAAAGTCAGTAGTAGGCGAGGGAGTCAATATAAGGTGTTGCTACCAGAAAGTTCCCGGAGAGATCCAGCTGGCGGGGCAGGCTCAGCTGCTTAGTGACAGCTGTGGAAAACCTAGCCCCCCCCCCTCCCCGCAATCCAGGGAGACACAAGCGAAGCAAAGCCAGCGCAGGTGTGTCCTGCTACCTGCAGCTGTGGAGCACACCCGCACTGGGCCACACCCACCTAGCCCAGCCAGATAAGCACAGTCCTCTGGCATCAGCCTCTCCTGCAGGGGATGACTCATCCGTGGAACCTGGAGGCCTTAAAATTCAGTGTTTGTTTCCCCATCTTTCTTCCTTCAAAGCCTAGGAGAGCAACTATAATACATTTTCTTCTTCACAATCCGGAAAAAATCTTCCCTATCCCCTGGGAAGGAATGAAACTGAGACATTTGTAGTTTAGCCCAGTCTGCAAAGTTCGGTGCCTTAGTCTTTCAGCGGTGTGAGATCCAGCCGGAAGTGGTGGGCGGGGCCGAGGGAGAGCTGCCCCGCCCCCCACAGGCAATGGGGAAATTACTGACCGCTCTAGCTTGCCTTTGAGTCAAGCCTGACATCTTTGTGCGGCTCCCATCACAGTTCTTTAGATATTCCAACCACCAGCGGATGGGATTAACAGATAGGTGCCTGAGAAACGTAAATGTTGAAGATCATACTAGAGGTACACCAGAGAAGTGTGAGTTTCCATGGGGATGTAGGTTAGCCCCAAATGGAAGTGGGTGGCATGGGAGATGACAAAGCAGCCAACGTAATAGAAGGCCTGATTGTAAACCACGAGGATTTCAAGAGCATTTCTCTTCTGATCATTTCTCAAAAGAATTGAAAACAGGAAAAGCTAAAGCATTGCAACAAGACTGTCGAGAACCTGTACCTGAAATATTTTATTTCTGTTTCAAGAATTCCTATCTTTATCAATGACTGTATCTAGAGTGCTGCCTTTAGAAACCGGTGTTCATACTGGGGTACGGGCAGGTCTGGGTATGTTTAGGATGTGAGAGAAGGTCCACGTGTGTGCAACTCTTTGTTGGGTCTTATGGGCATTCCAGGAATTAATTACACTCTCCACAACACACAATTAAGTAACTCATCCATAGCAAGTAGTACATCGTGCGCTTGGATCATGGTAGACTTCACCTGAGTCTCCTTTTTAACCCGATAGAAAAAAATGAAACAATTCTTTTTGGAGAAGGCAAAAAACAAAAAAGCATATCTATTAATGAGACTTAAAGTTAGCAATATTTCTTTAGAGGTATAAGATTTAAACAGTGTAATTTCTAAAAGATCATTTTGTTTATTAAAATGGAAATATTCAAAACAAGCTTTGCTTCTGAGAGAAGAAAAATCAATTCTACGTGTTGTTGTATTTGTCCATACCTGCACCCACAACTGTGCTCCTATGCCCTTACACTCCACTGACCCATTTATTCCAGCCAGCTATGTGACAGAGGCCATGCTTCTGAGCAAGGGTCACTGTGTCATTAGGTCTGGATTATTTTGCCTAGTGTTAAAGTTGTTTCAGTGATACAAGTTTCTCAATCCTCCCTTCATTCTGGGGAGAAGAGCACAACCTGATCTTGAATGCCTTGAGCTGGGTAGAGGGGTGGAAGTTTGACTACAAATGCTGATTGTTGAGCCCTATTCAGACAAAATGAAGCAGAATCTTGAGGAGTGGGATCAAAAATCTTGCTTTTGAATGAGAGTCCCAAGTGATTCTTATGCAAAATGAAGTTTGGTAACCAGGAAATTGCAAATAAATGGGCTCACTTAAAGACTGACACACAAACCCAGACCCAAAATTTTGACTTCAGTCTCATAATTATCTCAGCAACTGTGACTCTGCTCTCTACCACCATCCTCCAGTTACCCAGTGACAAGGGAAGCAAAAAAGAATAAAAAATGGGAAACAACAAAGTTCAAGAGATAAAAATCTAAATAACAAATGCTCGGATGTTGAAGCTAGTATGCTCTTTTTTTACATTCCTCCTTGACACAAAAACACCCCAGACAGCGTTACAGACACAGCTACTGTGATTCAGCCAACAAGTTCTACTGCTGTTCGTAGGTACAGTTTGAACATCCTTAATCCCCAAAATCTGCAATTGGCAGTGTTCTAAAATTTGAAATTTTTAATGCTGATTCAGCCCCCAAACAGCTTTAGATTTCAAATCGTTGGGTATGAAGTAATCAATTATGTGTTCAAATATCCTCAATGACCTGATCTGGGTCAAATGATTCAGAGAAGTAAGAGCAGGGAAACAAAGCAACATGAATCAAAATAAAATTTGATAGTGGGTTTTGATCTTAAAATATAAAATACATGTTTACCTAACATAGGAATGGACCATAACTCCCATGAGTGTACCCATATGGAGAACATAGCCCAAAATAGTTTACTTAGAAGGATGCATAATTAAAAATGGAGCACTTTCTTTCCTTCTTCAGATCCTTGACAGTTGAGATCAATTTGAACAGTTAAAAAATGGCAACATAGTACTAGTATATGGTCATGGAAGAGTGATTTTTAGAGAAGATTTGTGACTTAATAGAAGACTATTCTTAAAGGAATTCATTTCTGCAGGTGAAGTCGAGACTCAGGTGGTCAGGTAGATGAAATGTTGGGCTCCACAAGCTGTTACAGGCTGGACCCTAAACCTCCTCTTCATCTCCTGTGTAGAAAGCTGGGTAGTTAGCCTGTGCTTTTGGGAGGTGGTAGAAACTGGAGAAGTAGAGGGTAGGAGGATAAGCTAGGCCTCTGAGTGTGTGCTTGAAGGGTATACTGGGACCCATGCTGCTCCTTTCTCCATATTCACTTCCCAGCCACTGTAGCAAGAGCAGCTCTGCCCTATTCCCTGCCTACCATGACGTTTCACCACAGGGCGATGGTGGTGGGACTAAGCAAACCTGGACTGAAGGCTCCGGAACCATGAGCCAAAATAAATCTTTCCTCATTTTAAAGATGATTATCAGAAGGATTTTGTCATAGTGCCAGAAAGTTAACTAAAATAGATGTCTTTTGCAGAAATATGATAGCAGATAAGAAACTTCTGGTAGATCTTAACCACAGCTTTGGCTGGGATCAGAAGATGAAGGTAATCATGATGTTTTGATGGAACTGCCAGTCGCCTTTCAGTCTCTAGAAGGATTCAAATTGTAGTCATGTTGATCACTGTTGGGTGCTACAAATAGTTGAGGTTAGGTGTCTAGTATGTGTTATTACAGTCATACTTTTGCTGAGATTTGACATATACTGTTTCACTTACAAGGATCAAACAGTCTCATCAGTTCATTATTTCAGAGAATCAACAGTTATTCATCTTTGGCTGGAAAGGAAAATTCAATTCTTTTTTATTTTCCAGTACTAAGGATTGAACTCAGGGTCTTCCAACTAGGCTTTTTTCCCTACCCCATTTTTATTTTGACACAGGGTCTCAGTATGTAGTCCAGGCAGGGCATGAACTTGCAATCCTTCTGTCTCAACCTTTCAGAGTGCTGGATGACTGGTGTGTACCACTATCCCCTACTAGTTCTTTGTCTTTCCATTTCTTGCCCTTGTATGCTACACTGGTTGCTGTCTAGTTCTCACTGTCAAAGTTGCTGAACATATCTTATAAAGGAACCCAACTTGTGGTGACCAGCTGGCTTAATTTGCTTGAAGTTGTTTCAGTTTGGGTAAGGAAAGACTCACATTCTAAGAAGTCCCCCTCTTCCAGGTAAATAGGGATGGTTTGTTATCCTGATGCTCTATTGCCCAATCAGATAGCCACTAGATACTTGGGACTATTAAACTCATAATCAATGAAAGTGGAATAAAATTAAAATTTCAGTTCTTTAGTTGTTCTAGCTACATTTCAAGGCCTCAGTAATAACGTGAAACTGGTGACTGCCGTATTCAACCACACAGAAATAGAACTTTCTATCATTGCAGAAAGTTTTGTTGCATAGTGCTGAGCTTAGAGGGTATTTCCCAGAACTATTGTGATGTCCTTTAAAACATCACTCTGATCAAATGTTGAGCAAGCTCATATGATGGCGTTGCCACTTCACGAACACACAGAATGCCGGGTCAGCAAAGCCACAGTGAACTCTTGCTTTCAGAGTTTGCATCAGGCTGCTGGATCTATGCCTTTGTTCTTCTTAGAACCCAGGACTTTGCAAGCACTTGTTAGCGTTCAGTAGAAACGAAACCAATGGGATAAGAAACATGGAAGAACACTGTAAGAAAAGACAATTTGGCCTCTTTTTAGTTGT